ATGTGATGTTAGTATCTATTTTATGTTTGTCTCACGTATTTTTACACTCATTTACCGCACATTTCGTCATTTTTAGCTAAAATTCTTTGTTTTAATTTATTGTATTTACATTAAAACAAGATTTTTATGTTTTATACTCTAATCATCTATTGTACCAGAAAAGTAAACAAACAGATCATTGACCCGAGACCATAGATAGTTTAGTGATGGCCAACTGTACTGCCAACTACAAATCGACTAATTAATTGAATGAAACAATTTGTTTAATTGAATCTGTTGGAATAACTGAGTGTTATATAATAAAAATGGGCTTTCCGATTTCGCTGCTGATTACTAAAAAAAATATGTGATTCAATCATTGACTTACAATTATATGGACGTCGGGTCCGCGCTAAAAAGTGTCCGCACTTGTAAGGCGCTAAAATCGTATACAGAGCGCCAAACTCCGCTTCAGTCTTCATTTGTTCTACTGACAGCGCGATACTGCGATGACATTACAATTTAAATTTCGAATAGGTTGACTTGGGACATTTTTTTCGTGGTTTTTGTATTAGATAATTTTGAACTAAAATTTTTCAAATAAGATTTTAATATGTTATTCAAATGAATAAAGCTAGAAAAAGTGATGAGATATCAACTCGAAAATGCTTATCATTTTATCAAAACCGGTTTGTTTACTTTTCTGGCATAATGAATTGGAATAGACTTGAATACTCGGACCCATTTCGAATGCACTAAGCTAGATTCGCATCCGAGAATATAGGAATATCGCTAGGTGTACCTAGAGATAAAATGATCCCTGTGACATTCCGGACCATTATTTCTGAGACTCAGAACTAATACGAAACTGATTGGCAAATGCTTTCACCTCGATAGCAAACGTTATGTAGTGTTAGGCTCAACTAACAGTGGCGCAGCGGCGCGACGCGTCAAGTTTTTCGCATGTAGTATATTCTTCTCTATTTTCCCATTATTAAGATACAAATTTGTACTTTACTTTACTGGTAGCTGTAAAGGTACTAACTGGGTGATAAATCTGTAATAGATTTCTCATAGATGGCGCTACGACTAAAAAGTCGTTGAAAGACCAAGTACAAAGACACGACGCAAGCACACAGAAAAATTCGTGAGGTCCGTTGGTTCGTTCCGTGGCTTAGTTGGTATAGCGTCTGGCACGGTATGCAAGAAGACGTCGGTTCGAATCCGACCGGATCGAAGGAATTTTTTCTGAGTGTTCGATCTTTGTATTAATAATTATAACAAACTAGTGGAGTAATTTCACAAAAAATAATTGAATATCAATTCAATAAAAGTTTAATTAATACAAATTTGTGTTATGCAAATATGGAAACGGGCGTCGACGCGCATCGACGCTTGGATGCAGTCGATCGAGCGGTTTCACGCGTCGTTTGACGCGCGTTCGCCAAGCGTTGTAGTTGAAAAACAGGACGCGACGCAACGCTTCGATTCTGCGCCAGTGTGGGTTGAGCCTTAAAGTCAAAGTGAAATTATCATTTATTTCTACATAGATACCGTTGTTTATTTCATAGGTAAAATTTTGCACTTTAAAACGTCATTTTTTAAGCTACTGGTCGTTCACTGTGCTGACTTCCCTGAGAAGAACAAGCATGTAAATCTAAGGATTGCTCTTTTCAAATAAACTTAAATGTTATGGAATACAGTTTGAATTATAAAATGATTTTTTTTTGCAAAATTTGATTGATTTTTTTCCCTGCCTGAAATAATTACAATACGAAAAAGGTTTTATTCGTTCAAGACTGTCATTGGCTTGATGAGTTAAGTGACCTCATTTGTAAAAACATTCGTTCCAAATTCAAATTTAAGAGATAAAACTTGTCTACAAGAAAATTCCTTTTCATTGCATTGACTTACAATTATATAGACGTCGGGTCCGCGCTAAAAAGTGTCCGAACTTATAGGGCGTTAAAATCGTATACAGAGCGTCATTCACGCTTTAGTCTTCGTTTATTTCTTTTGACAGCGAAGCAAGCAAAATTAGACAGTACTGCGATGACATTACAATTTGAATTCAACGTTTTAGCTTTTTCATATTCCTTTACTTTCACTTTTTTCATATTACTTTAACTGCCTTCGTGGCCGAACGGTTTGGTAACCGTTTGGTAACACGGCATGGTATGCCGGACAGCCACGCAGAGGTCCCAGGTTCGATTCCCGGGCCGGGCGAAATATTTGTATGACCTACATTTATTTCTCTCGTGAGTTTGGGTGTAATTTGTGGTTGTCTATGTGTGTGTCCATGGCACCCGCGACACAGGGTTTCCCTAGTGCGGGGCTATGTTGAGTGCGTGCGTTATTATTATTATTTACATGTCACTACGTTTAAATAGGTTGACTCGAGACATTTTTTTCGTGGTTTTTGTATTACACCCGTCGTCCATTTATTTGTAAGTCAATGTTTCACTGCTTAAAAAGGCTTGAATTGTTGAAAGTTCATATGAACTAATTAATCACTTTCAAAGAAATTTCGATAAGTTACCTTGTTTAATTCATCATTTTAAGTTATTGTACCATTACTAAGTGGTCTCTAAAATGGTTGACAAAACAATAATAGGCAGCAAAATTATAGCACTGCTTGAAGAAAATTGTTCTCAATGTTATGTGTCCCAAAGGCTGAATGTGAGTCGTTCGACAATTCAGAGGACTTGGCAACGATATCAGGAGACCGGTTCCGTCAATAGAAGGACAGGTTCCGGAAGAAAAACATGCAGCGAACCACGGGATGACCGCTTCCTGGTAAGCTGGGCGTTGAGAAATCGCAAAGTTTCATACGTGGACCTCAAGATGAGGAGTACAAATTAGTCTATGGGCCATCAAGAGGAGACTTCTTGCTGCCAATGTGCACAGTCATCGCCCAGCTCGTGGCCCTGAATTATTCCATGACCATAAAGTTGCTACTAGAAACCCTGCTACATGGACTCAAGAGGACTGGAAAAGAGTATTGTTCTCTGATGAAGCCAAGATTTCTCTGTGTGGTGAAGACCGCCGTCGACAACGAGAAACGCTTTGCAGACGTGTGTTTTGAAGAAGTCACCCCTTATGGTGGTGGCTCGTTTACTTTTTGAGTAGCGATTAATTCGATGGACCGTACGGAGTTAGTCTTCATCGAAAATGGCACATTGAATGCACACCAATACACGACGGAAACCCTAATTCCTCACGTATAATCCGCATTGACTGTTCTTGGAGAAGATTCCATTTTTATGGATGACAACGCTCGCGCCCACTGTTGTGGCGTTGTGGAAGCGTATATTCAAGAAGCTGGAATCCGGCGTTTGCATTGGCCAGCTCGAAGTCCCGACCTCAATCCAATATCTGGAATGTTCTGAAGCGATGGGTAAGGTCAGCGCAGACAGCACCACAAAACATGAGGGAGCTAAAAGATCTCATCGCCGTGGAATGGGAACATATTTCACAAGAGGTCATAAGCAATATCCTCGAAAGCATGCCTAGAAGAATACAAGCTGTGATTTTGGCAAGAGGAGGCCACACTCATTATTAAATTGTTCCTTTACATTATAAAAAAAAATTAAATTTTTTTAATTTTAATTTTACTTAACGAGTAGTGTTCTACTGACCACTGACATTTTCTCATTTAGTTAATCGAAATTAATTGAAAAAAATTGCACAAACCTTTTTCTGCATATTCATTTCTAAGATTCGGAGTATACTAGTTAATTAAATAATAAAATTTACTGCAGATGATAGTTAAATACCCTATTTGCTTAGGTGCCCGTTTTTTTTTGCGAGTGTATTTGTGTGGAATTTAGAATCCTCAATTTTCTAATGTAACATTCGTATATCATAGAATACTTTAAATGTAAGTTTTTAATAATACATGCTCCGGAATTTTAAAGTAAAAACGTATACAGTCCCCCATAAAAGAATCGTTTACCTTAGTTACCATGAGTTTGGTTTAGTTCTAAGGTTAATGTTATGCATATCTTTTTTCATAATGAAATTATGTATATTTTAGTCATGCCACCAGTCTTCTTAAACTTTTCTTTGAGAGAAACTCGAGAACCTTTTTTGTTTTTTACTTAAACGATGTACAGAACGAATCTCTCGAAACTCGTTTTGCAACACAAATATGGTTTGTATATCTGCCAGTGTATCTATATGATAAGAAGATTGGAATTTAGATTTGAAAAAAAATCTCAGACTATCTGGTCATATGACAAATAATACGATGATAATACAGGCCACACAGAATGTTACTAAATTCAAAAGGTATGAGATTGCCATTAATGATAAGTTAATAAAGAGACCTAGGTATATCAGTTTTAACCGAAGTTGATGGTATAGTAGGCACTATTCAGAGAAAAACGCAGCAAATAACTTACGTGAAAAACAAAAAGCACTAAAACCACAATTGTATAAGTAAAATATGGCAGGGAACACGTTATGTACAATAATACTAAATGTAAATACATTTACATTTAAAAACATTTTTAAATCGCGTAACTCGACAAATTTAAATACTTATTATTTTTATTCTGTTAAGTATTGTCTCACCTCACTTTTGTTTTAATCCAAAGTCACTAATAAATCTTACACACAACAGGTTTAGAAAACACTAGAAATTACACGAAAACCAAAAAGACAGTTAAGATAACCTTCTCAAAATATTAACCTATTTATTCGCCACCGCTACCGCAAAAGTAATTAAATTAGTCTAATTCGATTACCCCAATAATACCTCGTTTGTCCTCACTTCACGCACACTAACACAATAAACTACATAGCAACACACTAACACATTAAAAACGTTGCGTGTATTGACCCAATACGTGTATACTCCCTATTTTTTGGCTGTATAATTTCTTTCTGTAGCCTTCCACTAGACAATTTATTTAAAAATTAGAACGCAGTTTGGAAAAATGAATTTTCAAAATTTCAAAAAAAGAAGAAGATTTTGGAAATTCATAATTTTGACAGTTACTTTTTAAATATTTTCGTACCGTGTTGTGAGGCACCGATCGTTGCGTGTGGAGCCTAATGAAAAACAACCGTCTATCTTGAGTGCTAGTCCCACTAATACAAGCCTAGTACGGCCGGTAAGGCACGCTCTAGTTGAGTAAGAATGTATCATGCAACAACAGGTACTCGGCGTTAATCAAATGGAATCGAAGTTATTCTGTTATAAAGTAGTGCAAGATAATTGTTGAAATAAGAAATGTTCTTGTGTTGGGTACATTTATTGTTACTTTCGCATGTTTAATGATTTCATAAAGCAGTATTTGGTTTGAAACTTATTATACTACGATATTTAGAACATGGTTATTAGCAAACATTTTTTTCCAGTAGTAATAACATTTTTCGTCTGCGGTACTGGGTTTTATTGGTCAATGGGCTGCCATATCTTAAGACTGTAACTGTTTGCGGCAACTCGTTATTTTTTTTTCAGTATTTAAAAACAGCAATGTTCATACATTCCGTTTTACTCAGAAGTAATAAATTTGTTAAAGATACGTAAGAATAAGGCTCGGAAATGACGACGTACGTCAACTTTATGGCAAAATAAAAGATGATCCTAATTTTCCGTACAAAATTACACAGATCTCGGGGCTTGAGTCGATATATTACGATCACACATGCTCACTGTTTTTAAAAACGATGTCTCCTATGCTTCATGTAAAGAGTATATTAAGCAGGAGACTTAGCGTGTTTTCCACCCCTACTTTTGAAGCGTGAAATCCGATTTTTCAACGCCATGTGTGCCATGCGCCGCTGTTTATAGACGGCAGAAAGCGGAACTAATTCGTGCCATCTTTGAGTTCTGTGTACTCTTGATTCTGTATTAGAATTGAAGACAAATATTTAAAACACTAAATAAAAATGGAAAAACAGTTTTATATTTTGTGATTAAACGTAAATAATATTGAACAATATAAGGTATGGTGGTTTTCAAATTATTGTTATGTGTTAATTAGAACTATGTTTTGTTTCCCACAATTCACACGCAATAACAATAAGTAACGTAGAATATGAAAGGAAGTGTTGAAACTGAAAAAATCGATTTTAAAAAATAATATGGACGCGGCCACATGTGACGCAATTCTTAACTCTTTTACTTTTCTAAAGCAACAAATCTCAACAACCTAAAAACAGCACGCTCAATATACATAATACATATCTTATCTCCATCCTTGTGTAACTACACCTCTAAAATCATCCAACATGTACAGGCAACGAATAAATCTTTGTAACAAAAATCTAATAAAATTATCACATACATTATTCTGCCGTTGAGTCGTGAACTAGACAAGGGTCGTCACACAAGCATACATATAGCACACAGACATCGCCGATGCATATTGACCGTTTAATGCTATGAGTTAGTGTTAGTATCCTATACCACACGATACGACATAGTCACTTTTTTTTTAATACCGAGTGACGGGATGAACAAGTCGTGTTGGTTAAATCACAAAGATCTGACAGCCACTGCCACTGCGCTCGACACCGTTAGGCGATTAACACACTGCACCGCGCCCCGCGACTGAGCGCGGTACCTCCGTTTGTATGGAAAACAGTCGCCGTCGAACACACTGACAACGCTTCTCCGCGCGGGAGGGCGGAACAAGCAGTTTTACCGTGCCCTCGCGAGAGGCGCGGCGAACCGCAGGGTATGGCACACTGCGCTCCGCAATACCGGTCAGATGTTTAATCAATTCGTGTCTATTCCAGTAATTTTCGTTCGGATTTTCCCTAACAAATAATCAAAGGATTCAGTTGACATACGTGTGTAGTTGAAAAATTAATCTTCATTTTTCTTTGTGTCTTTGTATTTGAGTAAACAAAAACCAAATCGACGGTATAACTGCAGCGTCCTGAATGGGTTCTATATTATTAACCATTATTGTCAAAGAAGGATCTCAGCTACATGTGGTATCACTACGGCGATCATCTACGTAGCGAGTACTCTAAGGGGCGCGGGGCCGCTAGATCGCTGTCCCCAGATCTGCGTCTCCGAAACCGCGAGCGTGATTCCGAGTCTCGCGCACCGTGGGGCGCGGTGCAGTGGTTTAATCGCTTTAGACGTAACTTTTTAAGGCTCATTTATCTGTAATTTCACCAGCATACATACCCTTCAAAACCTGCTTGGCGTCAAATATAGGTAAGCTGGTATTACTTCCCAGCGAAAACGAGATTTCAAGGTCGTTCGGTAACCGTAAAAATGCTAATAAAATTTTTAATTCGGGACTTCATCACGCACTGACACCCGCCTCTTCACAAGACCAGACGTTGCAATACGTCCGAAAAGTCGAGGTAATTTTAACATGTTTTATACATGATTAAGTCCCGAATTAAAAAATAAAATGTTTTGTCCGAGATTTCTTTTGACAATGGAAACTTGTCCGATCCGCACAGCTATGGAAGCAGTGGCCGTCAACTCGTAAACATACGGATTATAGAATATCTCTGCAGGTGTAAAACTATGCAATATGCAAATTCTAATCGTATTTATATTTTCTACTTGTCTTTATTATAAACAACGTATTGCATGATTGTTTTGTTCATCATCAAGTGACGAGATTAACAAGTGCGCCTGGTGGTAAGCGACAGGCCTTCTCATGATGGCGGCACTTCACATGTCTACTTGTATTCGTGACGCTGACATATATGACCGTCTACACGTCGAGCCAAATAAGAAGTTAATATCATGAATATGACCATACTGTGGACGCTTTACTTGCGTATTTGCCTATTTGGCTCCTTTAATGTGCATCGAGAAACCGACCAGCGCGTGGTAACGCAAGTTTGGTGTTCGCTGTATTTGTCGAATAGGCAAACACGGCAAATACTTTATCACACATGCTATCTACATATGGTGATTGTTTGCGAAATGTATCTAATAGGTACGCAAATACAAGCCATGTCAAGTGCCACCATGGTAGTGCCACTCAGAGTTGTAAATCGCAAAGATCTGGGAGGCACTGCCACTGCACCCGGCACTATTAGACGTAAGGTTAACAAGTCCAATGTGCTTGTATTTTCACCAGCTTCCTCACCCTTCAAAACCGATACGTTGTAATGTTCACTCACATTACAGCTTGGCGGTAGAAATAGGTATGGCGGCAGTACTTCTATGGATGAACTCTTTCACAAGAATCTCTTCTGGTAGTAAACTCATAACGTTGAAGCTCTAAAGACTGTATTGAAGATGGTTTTGTACTTAGTAATTTTTGCTCCAAAATAAAGATACTAAAGTAGGTGGAGGATCAGCGTCATCATCTGTCAATAAACGCTCTATTTTTAAGTATACAAATACAAAATTATTTATTGTTCTTTTCTACCTTAACAATACATTTTACAGAGTAATTAAACTAAGGAACATCGTACAAACGTCTTGTTGAGTTCAATGTCAAGAAAATATAGGTCTGCGCGGTTACGACAAAAATGACACCGTTCCTTCCCGCTCTTTCTCTGATAGGCACAAATCTGATATATTAAATTATATATCCCCTTGCTTGGTATGGAGATCTGTTGCGATCTGAACCCAAGGTTTCTTGAACAAGGTGCATCGTTTCTTCACGTCTGACCAATTATGCCTGTTGTACAAAACACAAGTTAGCTCTTGCGTTGAGTATTGTTCGCACCTCTGGGATGGCTCCGCCAAGTACATTCTCTATGCCTTGGACAGTTTGCAGCGTCGACCCTCACGAGTCATTGGCGATGAAGCGGTCTCATCACACCTTGAACCTTTACAACTGCGTAGAAACGTACTTAGCGCCTTTTATCGGATGTACCAAGGGGAGTGCTCTGAAGAACTGTTCAACCTTATCCTGTCCTCCCGTTTCCTGCTCCGAAGCACGCGTGCTGGCCTTCGTAGTCACCGTTTTACAACTAGCCGTATTCCATCGAGAACTAAAAGGTTTGGTGGCACCTTCTTCTATCGCATAGTTGAGAAATGGAACTCCCTTCCAGGGGACGTATTCCCACCGTCATGATACGGGGTCCTTCAAACGCGGCATGAAGAGGCATCTTGTAGACATACTGGGTGGAGGTGGCTAGGGTGGTGATTATACTGTCACTAGTAACACTGTACTAGCTTTCTTCACGTTTGGATTCCATTTCCCATTTTACTTCAGGTGGAATGGAGGCATCTGCCAGTCATGTATAAAAAAAAAGTACAGTACGTGTACCCTTTAACAACAGGATCTTTGGCGACAGTCATAAGAGAAATTCCTGAAGAGTCATTTATAAACAGACTGTTAAAATGACAGCTGCAATTATATGTGAATTAGCTTATTATTGTGTTTGCTTGGCAAAGGTAAGCAATGACAAGGTAGAGCCAGAAAAAGACAACGGAACGACTTGTATGTATAAGGAACTAGTTTGATATTGCCTCAGAAAATTGAGAGGAGAGGTCTTGATCCTGCTGCAGTTTACAAATTGAAATATTTATTTACCAAGACAAGATTACACAGTACCAGTACTTTGCCTATAGGAAAGTTACTTTTAATAATAATAACGCACACACTACGCGGTAAGTGCCTACCACCGTGAGTGCGCCGGCGTCGGCACAAGCGCTCAATAAGTCTTTCATTTATGAGCATTCGGCTCCGCGCGATTGCCCACGGTGGTAAATGTTAATTTCATCTCTCTGAAAGCGTGCTTAGGTGCTTTTGTCCTCGTAGTGAGCGCTTGGTGCCGTTGATCAGATATATTAGGTTATTATAGCGTAGGTAGTACCGATTTTGTATATATCGCACACACTCAATATCTGACTGTGTGGAGGGTGTCATGGACACTCACATAGACAACCACAAATTACACCCTAACACACGACAGAAATAAATGTAGGCCATACAAATATTTCTCCCCGCCCGGGAATCGAACCTGGGACCTCTGCGTGGAAGTCGGGCATGGTAACCGTTCGGCCACGGATGCTGTTGTACAGTGTTAGGTACAAGAAATGCAAACTTATACGGGTACACAACATAATACAGACTGCTTATCATCACGTTTGAATTCATAAATTCGTTGATTCCGTATAAAGTTGATTTAAAAAAAA